CTGGATGACGACGAAGCCTGCTCGGTGGAGTTAGTTAACGGCTTCGAATGCCGCGCGCTTTGAATACTGAAGACGTTCTTCGATGACTCTATGGTGATGCTCATTGGTACAGTTTAGGTTTCCAGTTCAGACTGATATATAATACATGCAGAGAATTTAGCGTCCCTATGACTTTTCTTATTCTACGATGATACAGTATGTGTACATATGTACACTTCATAATATTAGTTGAATTTTAAGGCTTGCCATGGCTGAGCTTGAAGCATGTTTTCTTCTTTTTCCGATTTGCCCCTGCCAGAAGGCCGCGTCAAAAACAACGTCTACTAACAATAGACTAAACAGAAAGAGAAGAGTGGATCCCTGAATCGTTCTTCTATGTAGCACAAATTTACGAGTTTCGTGAAAACGAAACAACGATTGAACCACCAGAAGAGCATATATACGCGCTTACTCATCCATTTGCTCTATTCGTCGATACTAGATAATTTCTTTCCTTCTGTAGAAATCAGACTAACCGCGATCAGCTATTGACACAGCTCAGAGCGCAGTTTCACATATTCAACGCTGATATATAGTGGGCGTACAGCTCAGATCTTCCTGATGGCATATACTATTATCTTCTTTTCGGTAGCAATCTGCATCGAGAGCTGAAAAGCCGAAATCTTTGCCGAAGAACTTGCGCGACGACCTCATCGTCTTTGCTTCTGCCGACACCGGTCGAATTGAAACAACACTAATGTTTACATTGGCTTCGTTCCGGCGTGAGGGAAGCGGTTATTCTTAAACGCCAGATGTTTTTGTGACATTACGACCAAAGAGACTACTTCATACGATGCAAAATTGTAAAATATTTGCTTCTAGCGATGCCTTCGTTGATGATAAAGCTGGCCAGCCAAAAGCTATGGCCTCAGCGAGAGTCGGCCAGTCAATGTTGGGCGTTGTTCCGTCTTGTCACAGGCGGCCATAAATCTGTGCTCTACAATGGATTAGCGGTATACTGTTATGAGGTAAAAGTGACACATTAAGGCTGTTGATGCGTTTTTCTCACAGATATTATACATATGACAGGCGTCACCAGTAGCCGAGTATTTGACGAACATCGTTAAAAAAAAGAAAAACAAAAAAACAACATGTCTTTCTTTTTTGTATTTTTATAATTCCCTAATCAAAAACTATGGTATACTTATAGTCCCTCTGTATTAAAGCTGCATTTTCCAAAGTTAGCTTTAAGAGGCGTATTACATCGTTGCGCGTATCGTGCTATATTTAACCTTCGACTCAAACCTAACCAGTATGTATTAGAGAACGGACTAATCGTACGTACAATGCTGTTTGTTGTTATTTTTCTTCACTCATATTTCGGACCTTGCTCCTTATTGCCGGTCGCGCCTTTGCCTGTTTTCCTTTCATTTAGGAAGCGTTCGTTTGAGTTCGTTCTCGCCAGAAGTGAAACGTTGGCGACGGCTCGAACGTAGCAAGACGCTTTGCCTAGTTGCATGCGGAGCAGCGAATGGTGGATTTGGATTTGTACTTTGTCTTCTCGCTACGCTAACCCCCGAAGTCCTTGCCCTTCAACCCTCACATTCCGCTGCTCCCTTGCTATCTCGTCGCCGAATTTTGCCTCGGATTCGCTCGCACTCACATTCAGCGCCAAAAAGAGGCAACCTTCAACGAAGCAAAAGAGAAACCCCCTCAGGTTTCTTTGATTCCTACCGCTTCAATGCTGCTACGAGCCCTCTGCTTTTGTACAGTGCCGTCATGGCTGATCCCTCATCGCCCTTCATCCAGCCGATGTTGCCGATGCATGGATGCACGATGTTTCTAACATGTCCCAGCCCTCCGTTGCACTGCTCGTCAAATCTAAGGATGCCACCTTTGAGCGGTCTGTGCTGCTTGTCGCCGATTAGTTGCCAGGACTTCGAGCGCCGATGTTCTCGCTTTGCCTTCTGTTGCACAGTCGAAGTACGCACTTCGTGTTACCACTAATACCGACGAAAAATACTTTGGCATAAGAGCGCGATGCTACCGGTCCGTGCCTCGAAACGTAGAGGCGGCGGCGCTAAAGGCTGCCCTTATCCTTGTCGGGTTTGGTAGCCTCGGTTTGCCCTTCTGTCTGTATTTTGTTCCACAAACCCTGTCATTCCCTCTCCCTCACTCGCTTTCCGTTTTTCGGATTTCTAACAAAGAACAACTCCTTAGTAGGAAACATACAAGAAGATAAGAAAATGACAACGGCAACAACAACCGCTACGATAAAGACGCCGAGTGCGGCGAATGAAGCTAACGGTAGCCCGACAAACCAGCCATTTGTTTTAGTTTTTTCCAATGGTGGAGGCCTCGCAAAAGAATCAGAAACACCTGTAGTCACAACAACATCATCTGCGGCGACGTCGGCAAGCGATGAGGAGCAACACCATATAAGTGGTCACTGTGAATGAATTGCACAATAGGACAAGCGAGCAAAAAGAGGATAAAAGAATGAAAGCTTAGGGATTGATGCAACCGTATTCAGTCTAAATTGAGTGCTGCTACGGCAGCAATCTCAGCTATAACATGAGTACGTATTTCAAAGACCTTCGCCATACAGTTATGCATCGCAAAACGTAATTTCTGACTATCCATTCGATGTCCGAAAGCGAACCACGAGTGATACGGCCCTGGCAACTTCGCGAAGTGTGGCGAGAACCAAAATGAGCACGCAACATCGCTTCAAACAACTACAAAATTGTCCCTTAGTACAATTACTCTGTGCTTATTATAAACATAGCCTCTTCAACAACTTTGCCGAAATGTTGCTAACGAAGCGCCAAAGGTAAAGTCCAATTTATAACATTATTGGAATATAACACGTAAACACTACGAAACAGTACGCTTAGGTGTGCGTGTATATTAGTGAGTATGACTGTAGAAATTTGTTAATGCCTACGTCAATTTATAGGATTCATTCGTAACTGTTAGATGATCTCATTACTACTGATCCTAATTGATCATTTGACCTAAACCATATAACCATACCTTTATAAATTCAAAAGAAGCGGCAGTTTTAGCTTTAGGCACTCTCGTAGCCTAATTGGCACAACGCCGATTTCTACACTAAGAGAACTAAACTAGTTATAAGCCCTATATAGTAATAGTGGTCCGATGGCTCCCCTTGCGCCAGCGTTCACCAGCACCATAAGGCGCCCCCAAAAACGAAAAAGGGTGCTGCTCTGTGTGAGAGGATGTAACGCGTCCTGCTCAATGAAGACGACTGTCCTTGCACCATCGAGGCGTCACCCGCTAGTCCAGCGATGGCCGACTAATACGATGGTCCAGTTGTAGCAGGAGCCGTTGCTTGGTCGACTCAGGCCCCTTCGGCGTATATCCCCTCTTCCCCAGTCCACTGGGTTAGGCTGTCTCTCCGAACATTCGAACTAGCGGCAAGGACAGGGGATGAAGGTATGGGGAAACGGACCCTGGCATAGGCCAGCTCCTCCTGTTCTCTGGTTCCCAACGAGTTGCTGCTGCCGCCGCTGCATCGAATTCTCCTTCATTCTCCTTGTCGCTTTACTATGTGTACTAGCGATAGCGGTCGTGGCGATGAGGATTCGAAAGAACGCGATGGTAAAGCGATGACGACGCGATGCGATGCCAATGCAGTGCTGGGTCGAACTAACCAACCAACGAGCGAACGAAGGCAAATCCAAAGACATCGAGAATTGCATCGGGGAGGGAGACCAATGGTGAGGCTGCCTTCCTTGCCTCGCTTTGCTAGAACTAAAACTGCTTCGACCACTGCTGCCACCAAGTCCGCGACTACTCCTCAATGGATCAGCTGTGCTGCTGTTGAAGACTATGGGCTCGTTCGTCGGCGGACTCATTCTCGAAGCGGATCACGAGCCAAGACCGAGTGAACGAGCAAGCGCCTGCCTGGCTGGAGGGCCGACTTGCCGCTCTACCGGCCAACAGCGCCAGGGTGTTCTCAACTATTCGAACCGCTGGTCCCCTCTCCGTTAACACACACAAACCCCACTAGACCCTACTAGTCTCGATGGCTTGCGCGCCCCCACCGGCCTCCCTTCTCGCCCTCGTTTTCTCCCCCTCTCTCTATTTCTCTATGCAGTTTTGTTCCCGAGACAGAAGAAGCTAAGACTGAGCGACTAGCACAGGGACGCCACATCAGTACCATTGCAATTGCTTCGACTAATACTATAACGGCGGATAGGGTTAAGGCTATAGGCTATAGCTAATGCCTGCTTTCACCCCCATAGCTGTATGCTGCCCTGCGAATGGTACTGCTTTATTCTACTGCATTTAGACAGCAACTGGCAGCGCGTCGTGGCCGGTGTCGTCGTCCATAGAGTTTCGCGCTGTAGCTCTCCAATAGCGTCGAGTTTAGCGGTAACGGCGGCCGCAGCAGCGTAGGTCAGCGGCAGTCAGCACAGACGCGTGAGTCATAGGCGATAACCAATACGAAAGGGTTGCGTCCCCCAAGATTCTCCCGAAGCGGATGGCAAGCTGCTAGGTTGGACTCGCCCCTTCGCCCAAACTAAGACCCTGAAGAACTCCACACAGCTCCCGATTGGTCCCCCTGGTCGCTTGTTAGTGTGGGAAGAGAATTTTTAGCCTTCAGAGAGTTGAGGTGGGCGAGTAAGCAAGCCGGCATCAGTGGCTGGTATCACTACGATTAGTACGCTAGCTGAAGCTTGTCAGGGCTTTCCCTCTCTGACAGCTTTCAATGCTTTTGGCTCCTGCTGCTGCTTCAGTGATGGCGATCTGCTGTCACTCATACAGACAGTTAGAATAGACAGACAGACAGACAGACAGATAGACAATCCTAGCAAATACACGCAATACTGTTATTTTATGCAAAACGGACCCACTTGTTCCGCCGTAGGTACATACCGTGTTCTATGGAAATTGTACTGGTGTGAACGTGTGTAACAAGCATGCTCAAAGACGGCGTACGGTATATTTTCGTGATAATAAACACATGTGTATATATACTGTGTGATACTAACCTGAGTGGAACGATGATCTAGGTCAATCATGAGCATCGCAACTTCATAGCTCGAACGCTGAATTGCCCTAAAATGAGTCAAACAAAAGTATGGAATAGAATATTATGTTAGGATATATATATATTTTTTTTTTTTTTCAAAAAAGCAAATAAAAAACGTTCTGGCGTATGCTATTAGACTGATACATACGTACAGCTCAAAAAAGGAAAGCTTTAGTGTGTAATTTCGTATAGCCAGTTATGGTCGTTTCACACCATTCCAGCTGCTTGTCCAGCTATTGATTAGCGTCATAAATGTAATCAACATTCGGCAAGTTGGCTTAAAACTGATAGCCTTTCTTTTAGCTAAACTCAGTTAGTTCGCACTCTAAGGACTTCTCTGTGGCATCTTTTCATAAGTCCTTAGTTTCCGCTGTCTGCAGTAGCACTAACGATTAGGACAAGTAAAGGCAACAATTACAGCTACCGTAACAACGAAGCCAACGACGGCTTATGCCCTTATGGTTGTCGGGGGACACAAATTTCCATTGTGTGCGGACGTCATTTGCTGGAAAAGAGTTCGAGTCGCCGTGGACGCTGCACGCCGGGTGTTAAAGTTACTCGACGTTAGTGTGATCACGGGTGTTATTTGCGTAGTGGCGACTATACGAGTTTTACTGCTGATTCTACTCTCATGTAACACCATGTAGGGTCTCAGACTGTAATAGTTGTCCGGGTTGCGACAACTGATAGCTGCTTGTCTCCCAGAGCTAAAGATGGGTTAGCGCATAGTAGAACCCCGCGCGGCAGTCTGTCCTTGTCGTAGTGGTTTTACAGCGGCCGCAACAAACGAGTATCTACATCGTTACGTAGTGCATAGCACAAGCCGCCGGCATCGCATCTGCGTAGGAGCCTGCTGTAGCAATTGCAAGCCGAGCAGCAAAAGTACGATACAATGATCTATCATGAATAGCCAAGTAATGAAGGTTTTTGCCCTCCATTGCAGACGGCGGTAGTGGCAGCAGCAGCAACCGAGAGAGGGGCCTGATGATAATATATCGACGACGAGGTCTCCGCTGCTGCCCCCGTCGCCACAGACTGTGACGACGTGGCGTCCAACGGGCACTAACCATCCCAACTGGCGTTCCCCTTCAGCGGTTGCTTCTCAGGGGGGCCGAGATGCTAACCAGGGAATTTCGCCTGGTCTAGTGGGGGCGGCGGAGGGGAGAAACAGGAGATGAAGGAGGGGAAGTCGCGACGGGATAAAAAGATAAATGAATAATAATTACATTATTATTATTATTTTTATAAGCTGTATGATTACGCTGGTCGGTCGGTCGGTTGCACGCTAACGAAACTAGTCGATGGACATGGAGACATGAGAGCTCGCTAAAACGAAGCGAGAATGTAGAGGGCGCAATATCCCAATGGATGAGGTGAACAGGGAAACAGCAGGATTTCGGGGGCTTCCGGGGTCAGATTCTCAGCGTCTTTCTCGCAGATGATCGTTGCCTTTCCGGCCTTTCTGTACGAAGCTTCTTGCTGTCGCGTCGCTACTGCTACAAATCCGGCTGCTTCTGCTCATCGTGGACTAGCGGTGCTGCGGCCGTCTGCGGCGACAGCAGCGCCAAAGGCGTCATCGTCGCTCGGCTGCTTCCTCTCCTCTCTACGAACATTAATGACGGACAAATGATCAAATTAATGATGGGTTTTGTCGTCCTAGCCTTCTCCTTATATACACGTTTGCCTATATATGCTTGCTGGTGCCTCAACGAAGGAAAGTTATAGGACCAGAAGCTCTCGGCATCGGTGACGGCGGCTGCTGCTGCTGCTGTTGTAGATAGACATGAACATGGCTATCGTCACACCGCTCTGTTTTCTTTAGCCTGCCCCGCAGTACAGGTCCTTAATGTCAAAGAACAGAGCGCTACGGAGACGATGTTAAGGTCCAAATGGACGAGGCTGCTGCCAACGGCTGCAAAAATTCTGTGTGCTACTCCTCGTTCTCGCTGTGCAAGCAAACAGAATGAAAAAGCGACTGACGCAATAAGAATGCCAAAGAGAGACATCAGAAAAGGATCCCTGGGTAGTTATCATGTGCGTGACTACTTTAGTCTAGCATATACTCATCACAGAATGACGGGTTACGTATCCTCGTGAGCGCATAACCCGAAACAATTCTGTGGGTCCGACCCACACACGGCTTTTTGTCTCAGAGGACCGCTGCTCGCACGCGCCACTGGCTGGACTGATGGTACAGAGAAAAATGTTTACTAATATATACACACACACACACATATATATATAGCTAGTTGCAGGTAGCATATGCGTAATATATAGGCAAACATATATTTAACCGTATTATAAATAAAAATTATTCAGTCATATTAAATTTTATGCTCGTAGACAAGTACTAGTTGATCTACGATCTCAACTTTATGATATAACTTCTAAGCCCTTCCTTCCAATTCTTTGCTCGTGGAATATAAATCAGTCTCTACTCGATCACAGGCTGCTTTTTGCTAGCGTAGACAATGGCGTATTTAAATACATACCGATTTCCTCTGGTGCGCTTGCTGACTGCTCTGTTGCGCCCATTTGTTATGACTGAGGCCAAACGAAGCGATTTAGCTGGTGAACGACATGTATTCGATATGCTATTGGTACATCTCAGCATTTCTCATCATTTAAGACCCCTGTCGTTTTTGACGGCACTCTCTCATACATCTAGGCTCATAGTCCTATGGATTCGTCATAGACTGAAGAAACAGTAAAAGCAAGAGCAGGCGGCATCCATCTCACGTGCGCAGTGCATTACTGCCTATCGTTAGACGTGTTTACGTCATCGATTCAATATTCGTTGCATGGACAGGCGCTGACGCGACGAGGAAGGACGGGTCGGCGGAGCGATTGGGACTGGCTGGGCCTGAGGCGATGGGACGTGGCCGCCGGTGAAATTTGTGATTAAACTACCAACCAGCTAGATGATTTCGACGAACCTGTGACGCTGATGCACTGCGGGAGTCTATTCACATCGGATGTAAGCGGATTTGAATGTCCGTCGGCATGTCGATAAGTAAAACATCGGCCAATAAGCTATGTAGCACGGCTGGTGGTGCAAGGTGAGAGCATAGGAAAATTGATTCGAGTGAATAAGTGAGGATAACTCGACTCGATTTACCATTCGTTCAATATGAAACAGTCAGCGTCATCGGAAGCGCCTCAGTTACGACGGAGCAGGCTATATGATGGTTCTATATCTCTAATTTAATCATAGCAATGGTGCAGCTGTAACCAGTGGATGGCAAATTAAACGGCAGTAACACATTCTGTATTTTGCGTAGCACTCTGTACGTGAAGTTCGAGCGGGTTGGGTTTTTGTCGAATGCTTGCTACCTCCAGGACGGATTGCGTAACTCTTTGGCTCATTTGGGTCGGGTGATTTACTGAACATCCTGTATCTTTTTATGGGTGTGAGTTATTTGCAAGCATGATTCCCAACGGTACGAGGCCGTTACACTTGATTCTTCAGTAAGTGGTCCGATTTCTTTACCGTTGCGTATCTTTCGAGATTTTCTCGTTTACGTTCAGCTTGTGCATCTGTCCTTTGATCGAGACTTCTTCCAACAGAAATCCGCGAGTAAGCACCATTCTGGCTGAATGCCAAGACTCTGCTAATAGCGATGCCGGAGAAATCTCCATGTGTCCGCAGCTACCCCCGGTGCCGCGGACGCCATCGTATTGCTATCCGAAACGTTTCAACCACCGTTTTAGTAGATTGAAGTCAGTATGCAACGAAGGCTGAACGAAGACGAGATGGTGTCCGCCCAGGCCACCCGCTAGGAAGGACAGCTCCTTGCCAAACATTGGGACAGAATTCGTTCGATGGACGGTTGGCAATACTTGATGTAGAGGCAACAAAAGCGATATAACTGCTAGGGGCAGGCCAAAACTCGACATAGCTATTTTGGCTGCTTGAATTTAACGGACTCTAGAAATAAATCCGGAACGCAACTTGTTCTTTATCGTGGCTGTTGTTGGTTTTTCAGTTTCAAATAGGCCTTTGCTAGCTGAATGCTCTCATGACCCATGGCTTAGCGGCCCGGCTTGGCCTGTTATTCAGTAAGGCTGAAACAGAAATCCAGTATGCAAGTACAAGCAAAAAACAGCCAAGCCGCTTAGGGAGTGCCGTACGATATCGACAGGACAAAGAATATGTGCACAATTTCAATTGTCTTTTTCCTTCCTCAGCGCTGTCGTCACCTTTAGCACTGTATTACATGTCCATGCGTCTGACTCGACACTCTGCTCAGCTGCATCTCGCCTAGCTTTTCTGGCTCGACTTGCAGTCACTATGCACAACAAACCATGGTACAATATAGGTTTGTATAAAAGCTGATAAAGCTGAGCGAGTGCTACTATCTCCGCTACGGGAGGATCGCGAAATCGAGAAGAGGAGAGCGCTAAGAAGAGCGAAGCTTGTGCCACCGAACCTTACCACGAGTCACGGCTGGGTCATCGTTGCACCGGCTCAATCCGCGTGGTTTGGTGGGGCGGCCGGAATCGGCGGTCCCACCGGCCACAGCACGGCTCCTTGTTGCTTTTGGCTGGCAGCGATCTGAACAACCCCACGAACTAACGACCGACTGATCACCAGAATCGACGAAGTGCAGGATTACACAGCGCTAGTTGTTTCTGATGCCGTATGGCCTGTACGACCAGCGTCATACTAGTGGGAGTAGTGGACAACTGGCGCAAGTAGCAGGGGAGCGAACATCCAGCGGCGCCCGCAAATACAGCTACAGAACTCGCCCGACGAATGACTAGCAAAGTAAGGGAGCGGTAGGAAAGGAGAGTATGAGGGACAGTCCGCTAATATTTAGCGGCTCGCGGTTGTTACTATCGCCGCTGCTGGTGCTGCAGCCGACGTCACCGTGATCGCTCAGACGCCCCCGTTGAGAACGAGATGGAATGGACAAAACGGCGAGCGCCCTCTGCTGACCGAACTGAACTAGCGACGGAATCTCAAATCGCACGCGTAGGATACGCCAGGAAGACACGCGCAGGCAAATACATACGTCAACAATTC